GACCTTTGGAGCGCTCTGTGCATCCAGTTAGATAAGTCCTCAAAGGTTAGATACTATCTTCCTTATCACCAGCACTTGGTTCCTCTTCCAAGAAAAAAACTTCTTGCTGCTCCCACCACTCCCATGCCTTCGTCCTTGAGCTGCTCCCTCTTGCTTCCTCTCTGGGCACCCAGCCTCTCACCTCTCCAGCCGTCCAGACCTTCCCACACGTTAGTGCTCAGCCCCAGTCCCATTTCCTCAATAAATTCCTTGTGCTATAGTTGCTGGCAACATTGGAAAATAAATAAAAGCCATGCCTTACGTCAGAAGAAGCTTGGCAAAAAAACATTGAAGCCGGTCAGGGACACTTATAAATGAGCTCTATTATCTCCTGTCCTCCAGTTAGTGCTGGGGTGTGGCAATTCTCAAAAGCCCTCTGCTCCTGAGACCAACAGCAGCGCCACCTAGGACACTGCTGAAAGCTAATTTCTCAGCTCCACCCACCCTCCCTGAGTTAGCAGTTTGGGGGATTAAACCCATCACTCTGCATTCCAATGAGCTTTAATGACTCGCCAGGACTCCTTTTCTTTTTTTTTTTTTTCTTTTAAGATTTTACAAAAAATTAAAAATTATTTATTCATTCATGAGAGACCAGGGAGAGAGAGAGGCAGAGACACAGGCAGAGGGAGAAGCAGGCTCCATGCAGGGAGCCTGATGTGGGATTCAGTCCTAGGCCTCCAGGATCATGTCCTGGGCTGGAGGCGGGACTAAACCGCTGAGCCACCCGGGCTTCCAAGTCTCCTTTCCTCTCTCATGCAGGTCTCCTACGTCCCCCCAAAGACCTTCCAAGATGACTCTTATGTCCCACCCCTCTGCTTTACCGTTTTATTTTTTACATACCCTATCTCTAGTTGAACCTATTTGCATGCGTGTTTATTTACTACTTCCCACTCCCCAGTGACAATGTGAGTAAGCTCTTTGATGGCAGAGATCTTGCTGTCTTGTTCGTTCCCATATGTCCAGGACCTACAAGAGTGCATGGCAAATAATAGTAATTACTGGGCAGTCCGAGTGGCTCAGCAGTTTAGCACCGCCTTCAGTCCACAGTGTGATCCTGGAGACCTGGGATCGAGTCCCACGTCAGGCTCCCTGCATGGAGCCTGCTTCTCCCTCTGCCTGTGTCTCTGCCTCTCTCTCTCTCTCTCTCTCTCTCTCTCTCTCTCTCTCTCTCTCTATGTCTGTCTCTATGAATAAATAAATAAATTTTAAACAACAACAACAAAAAATATATAATAGTAATTACTAAGAGCTACTTAGAGTTCAGAGGTAGGGCTCTGAGGGCTTTCAGGTTGTTGGCTCATAATCTGCATTAGGCGTGGTAAGGAGGACCTGATGATTGCAGCTCCTTTAATGACGCAAGTCTGTGGGTGGACGGTGGCCCAGTGCCGGGTGGTCTAGACAGCGACAGAGGCCTTGCTCAGCACATGGGCTCTCCGTGCTTGAGAGCCCCACACAGACAGAGGGGTGGGGAAGGGGGTGGGAGAGTGAGGCCAGCCCCACCGCTGTGGGCCCTGCTAGGCCTTGGTCTGCCCCAGAGCTGGGCTCTACCCCTGCTGCGGTGGGGGTGGGTGCGTGGGGGGAACGGGGGCTCTCGGTTCAGCACGAGTCCTCTGCTGCCCACCTAGGGGCCGAGCCACTGAGCTCTGGGCACTGCACGCCTGTTTTGCCCTGAGGACAAGGCTGCAGGTCCGGGAGATCGGGAGCAGACCTTCATGTTTCTCTCCGACTATTCATGAGCCACCCCACCCCCCACCCCCCGTGGACTCATCCTGGGTGCTGAGGATTCAGTAGTGAGGAGAACAGACCAAAATGTCTGCTCTCGTCCTGGCAAGGAGCCCGCCAACAGGGCCTGTACCGTGGCAGTGGGCGTGGAGTGGATCTGCCCATGTAAGATGGGTGTTTAGGGAGACCCTCCCTGGGAGGGAGTAAGCCCCGAGTGCCCGGGGTGGGGGGGTACAGGTGGCCCAGGGCCTTGTAGCCATGATGGGACTTGAGTCTCCCTGTGACTCGGGGAGTCCCCAGAGCAGGAGTGGCTGCTATTTGAACAGGGTCCCTCTGGCAGTCTGTAGGTGGCAGGTGGGCAGGGAAAGAGGACCTGGCCGGGGTCAGCACGGGGGACGAGGACAGCCTGGATGGACGGTAAAGGTCAAGCGAGTCAGGCCCCGGTGCGGGGCAGGAGGGGACACGACGGCGGCTGAGCACCTGGAAGGAGGGAGCTTCCATTTCTCGAGCTGGAGAAAATCAGGCGAGGAGCAGGGCTTTCATTTCAACTCTCAGATGCCGGCAGAGGGGGTCTCGGGTCTCGGCGTGCCCCTTCCACACTCAGGCGGGCCGGTGAAGCGGCCAGAGACCAGGAGGACGTCCAGGTGGAGACGCAAAACCCCGGAGCGGCGCCTGAGAGCCAGCCCACCTGTGCCGGGCACCGCGTGGCGAGGGAAGGCAGCTCAGAGGCCAGCGGATGCTCACGCCAAGTCAGAGGTGACGGTGCCAGGACTCAGACTGTAAGGCTGGGTGACCTCAGGGGAAGGAGCAGGGGCTCCTGGGTGGGAGGCCAGAGCAGGCTGCCTGGAGGGCATGTCCAGGCTTCAAAGGATTGGGAAGTTGTGGATGGAGAGAAATGAGGGACACGGAGAAAGCTGGCCCAGCAAACCCTGCAACGGGCACGTGCTGAATGCCACAGTCCACCCACCCGTCCTTGAGGGCTGCTGCCCAGCTCTGCTGCAGGAAGTCACCCAGTGGGGACACACCGGCTCCTGCAGGGGCCTAACCCTCTGTCCACACCAACTGGGCAGGCCTGCGGCTGCGCCCCAGCAAGGTCCCATGTGGCGGTCCTGCCCCCCCTCCCGCCAGGCTAAGTCGTAACCAACCAGGAAGGGTGGCTGGCTCACAGAGCCTGCCCCACTGTGGAAACCCCAGGGCTGGGGGGGACCCTCCCATCGGTCACCAGGAGTCCCTCCAGCTTTGCTCTGTATGGTCCAAATCTGCCAGCGGCCCCAAAGCACAAGACGCAAATGCTTTGTATCCACTCAATGTCTCAACGGAGGAAGGCCTCCTCCTCCCTGTCTCTTTAGAGCCTGAGTGAATGTGGCAACTCCGTGTCCTCTTATCTGGGCCCTGTCCCTCGTTTTCCAGCTGATCGGTTAGCCACCAGGTCTTGGAGCTCATGGTCAGCACCCCCATCCTTGACTTTTGCACAAACACCTGTCCCCTAATGGTGGCACATCCTCCCTCCTCCGGGGCCTGTAGCAGGGTCTCCCGGGCCCTCAGCCACCTCTAAGCACTTGCACCAGAATTGTCCAGAGTGACTGTTTTTCCCTTTATTTTTTTAATTTTTTTTTAATTTTTAAAAATTTATTTATTTATGATAGTCACAGAGAGAGAGAGGCAGAGACACAGACAGAGGGAGAAGCAGGCTCCATGCACCGGGAGCCCGACGTGGGACTCGATCCCGGGTCTCCAGGATCGCGCCCTGGGCCAAAGGCAGGCGCCAAACCACTGCGCCACCCAGGGATCCCGTTTTTCTCTTTAAATATATATATATATTCATTCATTCATTCATTCATTCATTCATTCATATATTTAAATATATATATATATTCATTCATGAGAAGCACACACAGAGAGAGGGAGAGACAAAGGCAGAGGGAGCAGCAGACTCCACACCTGAGCAGGGCTGGATCCTAGGACCCAGAGATCACAACCTGAGCCAAAGCCAGACCCTTACTGACAGAGCCACCCAGGAACCCGTCCAGGGTGATGGTTAAAAGCAGGTCCCAGAGTCCTACCTCCACCCACTGGACCAGGATCTCAGAAGTGAGCCGTAACTTTGGTCACCAGAGGGGAGAAAGGACACCCCCCTCACCATTGCCAGGCGGCACAAATGGAACATGAGCACTACTGGAGAGCCCACAAGCAGAGAAGTGGCAGTAGCCCGGCGCCGGGCCTGTGACTCTACAGCTGGCGGGGACACCTGTTGGGGTGAGCACGAGGGTGCCTGCGCAGCCGAGCCAGCTTCTTGCTGAGAGGCTGAGGCGGACAGGAGGAGACTCCAAGGATATCCAAGTTTGCCTCTCCCCCCAAGGCGGCTGTTAGAGCTCAGCAGGCAGGAGCCCTTCCGTGGAACAGGTCCATGTGGGGCAGGCTGGTCCCTAAGGGCTGGCACCACAGCACCCTCCCCTTGCGGAGGCCCCTACACACAGGTCCTGTGGTCCTCGCTTCAGATGGAGAGCTGGTCAACCACCAGGAGCGGACCCCGGGCTGTGGGGGGTGGAGCCCGCTCCCTGCTGGCCAGAAGGACCCAGCGTGGGGCTGGCAGATGGTGGCTCCCAGCTGAGTGGCCACAGGGGCCCCTCAGCAGTCCTCCGCTAGGCAACGCCATGACTATACAGGGAAGCAGAGCTGGACGGAGCTGCCCAGAGCAGAAGGGGAAGGTCTCCTCCACACCGAAGATCCATCCAGCCAGCATATCCACACACTCATGCTCTCGCTCGACATGTGCCCATCCCTGGGCATGTGCCTGCTATAAGGGGTCCAGCCTGCCCTCACAGGGGTGCAGCCCCAACCTCAGCCCCAGCTTCCCGCTGGGGCACAGAGTATGACGCCCTGCTTCTTGAGGTCACTTCCTGAGTTGACCCCCCCCCCATCCCAGAGCACAAACCAGCCATGCCCCTGCTTCCTGAACCCCAAGCTGACTGCTCTGCAACAAAGTCCCCAGCCCCCGCAGATACTATGTCTGTCTCCAGGGCTGTCTTGTCAGCTGGGGCCGCCACCTCCAGGGGAGGAGGGCTCCTCTCAGGCCCATCAGCAGATGCTGGGTGAGGTGTTCTCCAGAGCACCAGCTGCTCTGGGGCTGGACCAGAGGAAATCTGACTCAGAGCAAAAGGATCATGGGAGATGGGGAAAGGCCCCCCGGTGCTGGAGATGGGAGACAACCCATAAAGTAGATTAGCAGCACACACTGCTCTTAGGTCCACATTTATTAGGCCCTGGAAGCCTGCCCAGCAGCCCTCCTGCTCCTAGAGGTATGGCCCCGAGGGCTAGTATCCGGCCTCACTTGGGCCAAAGCAAACAAAACAGTCAGAAATATTTTCCAGAAGGTAGATGGCTCCTTCCAAGCCTGCAGATGTCAGCTCTGGTCTGAGTGCATATCCTCCCCAGGGCTTCCAGCTCACCAGCTCCATGCTAACCACCCTGCCCTGGCTCTGGCCCGAAGGCTTCCTTGTGCCAGGCCAGCAGCTTAGCAGGGGCCAGGGGCCAGGGGCCAGGAGAGGCTGTGAGGCCAGAGGAGGAGATGGCCTGAGCACCTTCCCTGCTGTGTTCTCCTGGAAGCCTAGCTGCCGAAGTATTCCTGCTGGAACTTCTGGAAATCTTCCTCGGTGAACACGGTGCCTTCAGCCTCCTTCTTCTTTTTCTTCTTGGCTACAGGCCGGTCACAGGCCTTGCGGCCCCGGTTCTGGCGCACAATCTGGGGATGGGGGGCGGGAGGGGGGGAGGTGTTAGGATCCCTGGGTGGTATCTCTCTGCATATGAGGGGACAGCCCCTTGGAGCTACACGACCACAGCTTACTAAGTGCTACCCTCTCACTAGCTATACCATATCCACTTAGAGGAACAAACCGGGCCCACAGGGTCATAGGGGAGTTAGGCCAGGCCCAGCCTCCAACAGCCCTGCTCTGCTCTCCACCTTCCAGAGGGGTGGCCCGACCTCTGCTCTGTGCTTAGGGCAGAGACTCCCACGGGTCTCAGAAACAGCCTTGGCTCTCCCCACCCAGGTTCTGGTCCCATAGCCCACCCCTCTAACAAACCTGCTGGGTGACTGACTCAGCCACTGTACTTCTTGCGCTGGTCATAAACTTCAGGTTGACTCCGAGGTAGCCTTGACACTCTTGCTTCTGGAACTCAGCTGTGGATGGCAGGCAGGGGGGCATCATTTCAGAGGTACTCCTGGGAAGTCTCTGGGTCCCCTCCTGACAGCTCTTCCCCACCCCCTACCAGCCATGCCAAAGGCCCTGTGTCCCGCCCTGGGTTAACTCCAGCACCCCGGGCTCTCTTCTATCAAGTCTACTCTCCACATGATCCTACAGAAAGCACCCCCTCCGCCCCTGGCTCCCAGATCCTCAAGCGACTAATGCAACAAACAAGTCCTGAGCATTTACTGTCAGACACTGGTCTACATGCAGGGCATACAGCAGAAAACAGACAGAAACTCCAGCCCTTGTGGAGCTTACAGTCCAGAGCAAAGAAACACAATAAGCAAGGTAAACAGTATTTTAGAGAGTGATATGTTTTATGAAGAAAAATGCCACAGTGAAGAGAAATGAGGAATGTCAGGGGTGGAGGGTTGCAATTCTAAATAGGTGGGTCTGAGCAGGCCTCAGTGAAATGACGTTTTAGCAAAAACTCAAGGGAGGGAGTGTGGGAAGAGTATTCTAAGCAGAGGGTACAGTCAGTGCAAAGAACCTGAAGAAGTGTGATCCTTGTGTTTGGAGAACAGAAAATGGCTAGACCGGGGAGGGGAGAGCAGGGGAGAGAAGACGGAGGGGGGCGGACCATGCGGGGCCTCATTAGGTACCAAGTCCGGTGGAAGCCATTGGAGGGTGTGGGGGGACTTCACAGGATCACTGGCTGCTGTGGTGAGAACAGGATTACCAGGTGGGGGAGTGGCGGTTTTAAGAGGCTTTTAAAATAAGCCAGGTAAGAGATGATGCAGCCCACAGCGAGGTGGCAGCCACAGCGGTGGCTCGAGAGTCCCCTCATCACCTGCGATGCAGTGTGACAGGGTGGTGGGACAAGGGCTGGGATTAAGGTGACCTGCGGCACCCTATGCTCCCGTCTCACACCAGCATCGCTGCTGCTCAATTGCGTCTCACTTTCCTGCCTCCACACTTTGGCTCGTGCTGTTTCCTGCTTGGAATTCACAGTTCAACAAACCCCTGAACGTCTTTTATGTACCAGGCCCCAGGCCATTCAAAGGCACACCGGGAGCTCACCAGGCCCTGCCACATGTCCTAAGACCCCAGCATCCAGCCCGCACCTGTCCCTCCCGTTAGGTGGCATCATATCTCCAAGGATGCTCTCCTGGAAACGGCTCTGTTCTGGGCACCTCCCTCTTTATCCTCCATCCTCGGCCAATTCGGCACTGCCGCTCATCAGCGCTCCCCGTCTTCACCACATCCTCCCACCGGAGCAATCATCCCGGAATCATCCCGGCACCATCGTGGCCGCGCAGGCTACAGTGCCTCGCACCGGAAAGGCAGCCAGTGAGAGCGCATCTCTGCAGACACGCTGCCTGGTTTCTACCTGTACCACCTGGGCAGGTGTCCGTTTCTGCATCTGAGGAATGGGGGTAATGACAGCGCCGACCTCACAGGGTGATCGCTTCTTTTTTTGGGGGGGGGGGGGGAAGGGGGCGGGTGATCGCTTCTTTATGCAGGATTTGGAACAGCATCTTTTCCAGGCTTCTGTCTTGCCAGTGCTCAAAGCCACGAACTTCTCCCAACCCTGCCTCGCGACCTTCTCGGGAGCTCTTCCCGTGGCTCACTCTCACACCTCCCTCAGGTTCGGCCTTAACCGCCGCGCGCGCACAGAGGTCTGATTTGGCTTTTGATCCTCCGGCCCCGCCGCCGCCCCCCGCCTTACTGCGCAGCCTGACTCGGAAGCTCTTCGCGGCTCCTTTCCCCACTCGGGCGGCGGCGCGGGCGGCCGGGACGACGTGCTTCGTCCACCTCGTGCCCCCGGAACCCGGCTCCGCGCCCGGAGCACCCCAGGCAATGCCCGGCGGCCTCTCGAGCTCAGCCTCCAGCGCCCCCTCCCCAGGGGTCGCCCCCTCCCCAGCTCACCGAGCGCGGACTTGGGCACCTTCCCCTTGGCCGAGTTCCGCAGTTTCTGGGCTTGGGTCGCCTTCGCCTTCCGGCCCCGCTTGGCCCGGGCCCCGCTCGGCTTGGCCTGGCCCGGGGCGCCCTGGGGGGCTGCAGGGGAAGGGAGAGACGGGCGGACCCGGCTGACGCGGCGCGCAGGTCTTCCGTCCCGCCCGCGCCACGCCTGGCTTGGAGCGTCCCGCACCCTCGGGGGTCCTGCCCGCCGCCCCCGCTGCCCCTCCGCCCGCGCCGCGCGTCCCGGGCCAGGCCCGCCTCACCCTCCGGCGCCCCCAGCAGCTCGAGGCCCCGCCGCAGCAGGGCCGCCGACATGGCTGCACCTAGCTCCGCCCACACACTCAGGCTACTTCCGCCTTGGCCGCCCTCTTGGTCTCCGCGGAAACCCGAGCGGGAACAGAAGGTTCCGGAGCGAGTGGCCGGAAGTGCCCGCCTGCCTTAGGACGCCTGCGCGTGGAGTCGCCGCTTCACTCCCGAGAGGAAATAGGGGCGGGGCCTGGGGGCGGGGCCAACCTGCCAAAGGACGCATTTGTTGTCCAATCCCAACCCAGCCGGCCCCTGGCGCGCAAGGCCACGCCCACTCCGGGGAGCGGTCGGTTACCCTCCCTGGCGGGTGGGTCCAGCGGCTCGCGTCCTGCGGCTTCGAGGTACCCGAGGGTTTTTCTGCATTACCAAGTTTTTCGATAAAGCGAAGTGTACAGCCGGATTCTTTTTTCTCCAAACATCAACCGAAGCAGCATATCGCACAGGTCGAGTATGGTTGAGAATCCAGCTGTCTTCCATTAAGTCGGACATGAGAAGAGGTTTGCAAAAATGCAAAACCCTATCATCGGTTCCCCGCCCGTGTTTGGAAGATACAACTATTTCATTAGAAATATTTATTTCACATAAGGCCGGAAAAAAAGAGTATGTCTGACAACAACGTCACCGGGCCACTGGGTCTCCCACAGCTCATTATTTATACCATGCAATGGGTTTGCTATTGACTTTTAAAAAATGAATTAATATTTTTAAAAAGATTTTATTTGTTTGTTTATTTATTTATTTATTTATTCATGAGAGACACACACACACAGAGAGAGAGAGAGAGAGGCAGAGACACAGGCAGAGGGAGAAGCAGGCTCCCCTGATGTGAGACTCGATCCCAGGACCCCAGGATCAGGACCTGAGCCCAAGGCAGACGCTTAACCACTGAGCCACCCAGGTGCCCCATGAATTAATACATTTTGTTAACTTATTAAATTTTAAAAATTAAAATTTTCTCAGTCTTAGTTTCTCATAATGGTAAATATCAATAGGTATTTACACATGGAAAAACTCTCAGGGATCCTGAATTTTTTTTTTTTTTGAAAATTTTTTAAGAGTGTAGAGTCTCTTAGACCAAGAAGTTTGAGGACTTGCAGCCCAGAAATGACTCTTCTTACAGTGGGGAAGAACCTTGCCTTGTTCATAGCTCCCCCTGCAGCTCCTAGCCCAGTACCTGGCATGCAGAAGGCACTCAATAAATGAGTGGTGAATGACGAGGAGTATGATTTGAGGGCCTTTTGTATGCCCTGCACTGTTGAGAGTGGGGCATAGAGATGACTCAGCTGGACCTGCTGGGCGGGCCTCACTGTCTGACGTCCATCAGCTAGTCCTCAGGGGAGAGAACACCAAAATAGATGTTAATAATAGCAAATAGTATGTCAAGGTGTCAAGGTACTGTTTACATTTTTTTTTTAAGATTCTACTTATTTATTCATGAGAGACACACAAAGAGAGAGAGGCAGAGACACAGGCAGAGGGAGAAGCAGGCTCCCTGCAGGGAGGCCCCTGTGGGACTCAATCCCAGAACTCTGGGATCACGGCCTGGGTCAAAGGCAGACGCTCAACCGCTGAGCCACCCAGGCGTCCCCTGTTTACATTTGTTAACTCATTTACCTCCCACCACCCAAAGGAACCTGTCCAGGTCTCTCTCTCTCTGTCCTACACACAGACACATGTCGGTGTCTGAGCTGGAAATGAAGATGTAGAGCCTGGCCTGAGTGTGTGTGTGCTGTAACCTGCACCAGTGTCGAGGAGAATAGTGCTGTGCTGCAGGGTGGGGCCTGACAAGCCCACAGGATCAAGACATCTCTGAAGAAGAGGAGATGTACCTTCAGTGAGGGTACATTACCTGGGACAGGACTGGCCCCAGAGGAGTGACCAAGGAAAGGTGTTTGTTTTTTTTAAAGGTTTTGTTTTTTGTTTTGTTTTGTTTAGATGGAGAGAGAGCAAGTACAAGCAGGGGGAGTGGCAGGCAGAGGGAGAAGCAGACTCCCCACTGAGCAGGGAGCCTGATGTGGGGCTCTATCCCAAGACCCCAGAATCATGACCTGAGCCAAAGGCAGCCATTTAACGGACTGAGCCACCCAGACACTCCAAGGTAAGGTGATCTAATTGGCAAAGGACTCCGTGAACTTGCCTTAAGGACCCTGTGCGTGTGTGTGTGTGTGGGGGGGGGGGTGGTGGTCATGGAACCGAGTTACATTGTCAAAGATGCTCTTTTTATTTGTTTCTAAAAGAGTTAGATTGTTTTCTTATTATGTTTATAGCTAATTGTCTTTTCCCCTTTCCCACCCATGCCCCACTGTAAACTCCACAAGGGCAGGAATCTTCGTTTTGTTCATAGTTCTCTCTCTAGCTCCTGGGAACATGTAGTAAGCACTCCATAAATGTACAAATCAGATGGATGAAGGTTGAGTTTGGGATGCCTGTGGGAGGCTAGGTAGGCATGGACAGGTGACTGTAGGATGTGTGAGTCTCTAAGGAGGGCTAAGGACCCCCCCGCCCCCCCCCCATCTGGGATGGTCAGCACAGGGTCCCCAGGTGGAGGAGGCTTCATATTCCAACGTCCCAGGGACAGGGACGCCAGTCACTGCCTTCCTGCGGCGTCCTCAGCTCAACCTCCGGAGGGGCCAGGCGGCCTCGTGGCCACTAGGTGGCGCCGCAGGACAGCTTTCTTGCACCGCGCGCCTCAGCGATCCGGGTTGGGGTTCGGGGTAGGAGTGTGGGGTCGGAGCACCTTGGGCCCCAGCTGGCTCTTTGCACGCAGCACCGCGTGGCCGCGGCTTCTTGCCGTCCTTGCCTTGGCGGCCTTCCGAGCTGGAGCTACACACCCCTCCTGGGCCCGCGGAGCTCGAGCCACCGAGCTGGGCCGGGCTGCCGGCAGGGGAGCAGGGAGGAGGAGGAGGGGGAGGAGGGGGAGGAGGAGGAGGAGGAGGAGGAGGAGGAGGAGGAGGAGGAGGAGGAGGAGGAGGAGGAGGAGGTCTCCCTCTGAAAAGAGGTGTAAATGGCAGCAGGCTGGCACTCACTGCTGGGAAGGCCCCAATTACCCTAGGCAGTCCCTTCGCAGAGAGTGCCTCAGTTTCCTAATCTGTTAAATGGGGTTTAGCTCCCTAAAACGGTGAGAGTGAGGAGCCGGTAAATTAATCCTGGTGAAGCATCCAGGACGGGCTGGAGGGTAAGCGCCCACTGCCTGTTTGCAGCGTGTATTACAGAGGTGCACCCCATTCTGGGCAGGAGGGAGGCTCCTAGGATGTTGCTGCCTTCCTGTCCCCTGTCACCCGCTTGCTCCATCCCTGTCTCCTTCCTGGCCTTCCTGGAACCAGCTTAATCTCACCAGGCCTCAGAGGGATCAAAGGCTCAGAGGGAAGCTGGGTGTTCTGCAAGGTCACACAGCACTTCAAGAGCAGAGGCAGGACTAGAACCTGGGTCTCTGAGTCCTGAGCAAGATTGTGTATGTGAGTACATGAGTGTGTGCGTGTGTGTGTGTGCGTGTGTGTGTATGTGCAAGGGTGAGTCTGTTTTTGAGGGGACACCTGGCATCCTGTGCTTTGCTTTTGCTTCCCTCTCCCCATCTCTCTTCTGTCTCTGTGGCTCTGTCTCCTTGTCATTCTCTCTGTGCCTTCGTCCTCCCTTGTCTGTCCCTGAGTCCTCCCTCTTTCCATCTCTCCCTCAGTCGTCCCCCCAGCCCCCAAGCTCCTGGCCTCTCTCCACCTTCAAATTGAAAACCCAAATTGGAATTTCCAATTGCCTTTCCGAGTGGTGATTGCCAGTCCCCACGTGTCCAGCCCTCCCTTGTCTGCACCGCCTGCCCAGAGTTACAGCTGAGGCCCTTCAGCCTCTGCCTCTGCCTCTGCCTCCTGCCCTCTGTGGCTTTGAAGTGTGTTTACCTGCGAGCTCCAGAAAGAATCCATTTCTGCCCTCTCTGGTTCTCAGTTGATGTGTGTGTGTGTATGGGGGGGGGGTGCTCTGGTCTCCCCTGTCCGTCTCAGGGTCTCTTGGGTTTTATTTTCTAAAAGGTGATGCTTGTGTCTCGAGTCGTTCCCTCCTGACCACACTGTCATGCCTTCATTTCCCAGATCAAAGGCAGAGCTGGGGGCAGTAGTGTCCCCAGGGGTCTGAGGCTGACACAGATGCTCAAGGTTCCACAGACTGGCTCACGCAGCCGTGTACCTACGAGCAAGCCACCTTCCTTCTCTGGGCCTGTTTCCTCCTCTTCATGCTAGGCTTTGAGAAGTATTGTCCAGCCCTCCTCACAGGGCTGAGGGCGGGGTGGGCCAGAGGTCCTGAGGTCTGGGGGTAGCTTGGACTCTGGAGCCAGGCTGTGTAGGTTCAAATTCTGGCTTTTTCACTCAGTACCTGTGTGACCTTGGGTAAGTCACACAACCTCTTTGTGCTTCGGTTTCCCCATCTGTAAGTTGAATATAATAATAGTTCTTACCTCCTATGTAGGGTTGCTGTGGGGATTAGGTGCAAAGAGCTTAGAAAGGAAAACTGAGGAGTGCCTGGGTGGCTCAGTCAGTTGGGGCATCTGTTTTCAGCTTAAGTCATGATCCCAGGATTTGGATCCCTGGGATCCAGGCCTGAGTTTAGATCCCTGCTCAGCTTCTCTCTCCCTCTGCCCCTCCTCTTTCTCAAATAAATAAAATCTTAAAAAAAAAAAAAAAAAAGGAAAACTGAGCATAGAGTGAGTGCCATATGTTTGTAAATAAATGATGGCCGTAAGTGCCAGCAGTGTTCTTGGGGGACCTGTGCCCACATCCGCGTGTATGACCTGCATATGTTTGTAGCCACCAGAACTCTGTGCTCTTGTGGTCAGCACATGAGGAGGTTTGAGGCTTATGGAGAGTAATGCTTGAGAGCCTGGAGTTAGCAGGTGTGCATTCAAACGCAGCCTTTGCCACTTTCTGGTGTGTGGCCCGGGGATGCTACAACACCTCTCTGAGTGGGGTTTTGGGGGACTGGTGGTGTGTCCCTCCCAGGTCTGTTGGAGGGTGCAATGAGAGGCCGCGTGGAAAGTTCAGCAGTGGGTTGGACACTGGATCATCTGTTCACTCAACAAGCATCTGCAGAGCA